TCCCCCTTTATCTCTCTAGTACCAGGGGAATTCCATCTTTGGGGACTACACCACAATTGGCCAGTAAAAGCTGACTGTCTTGTTGAACCACCTGGATTGGGACAAGCAGATGCATCTCTTCTTACAAGTTCAGGTCTAGAACCTAGAGTCCAACTTCCAAAGCCCTGGAGGCTGCTGTCCTCACTGCTGCCCAGGCGGCAGTGGGAGTAGGGGTTGGCATCACCTCCCTCCTTCCTGGTATCATCCATGCCTAAAGCCCAGGGTGTTCTTTGTGCTTAAGCTTTTGGCTGGTGTCAGAACATCCCGAGAACCGGGTTCCTGACATGGACCAGCGTGCCCCTGAGCCCAGCAGAAGACCTGGTTCTTTCGACAGGATGGCTTGGAAATTTCCATTGTCCAAGTGAGGATGGAAATTTTGGCTTTGTTGACATCAGCTCCTTCCTAGGACAGCTCCCTGGCTGCAGTTTAATTTTAAAATCCCTGTTCCCTAGGGACATGGTCCAGTCTAGTTGTCCACTCTGTTCTCTCCCTGCCAGCCCATTCCTCTGTTCCAGTCCTATGACAAGCTCTCTGTCCCAAGGCACTGGTCCAACTCCTCACATGCCCCTGGGCTTGCCGGCTGCCTCTGTACTCCCCCCCTGGGTCTTACCCTGAGGAGTTAAAGCTGGAGGAGGAGTTCATGGCTGCTTTGGAGTTATTTTGAGACGCAGTGGGACTGCTGGCGTGGAGTCCTGAGCCAGGAGACGAAGGCCTGCTGTTGTTCCCAGGGGAACAGGATGACGTTACTAAGGACAAGGAGAGGCAAAAATAGAGGGAAATGAATGCTGTTGGATCCTGGGATGTTGTGATATGGCCTTTTTAACACCTGACTTCCTGGTATATCCCCAAAGGGACCTCACCCTTCCCCTACCCATCTGCCCACTTCCTATCGCATTAGCATCAATGTCCACCCGATGGCCTGACCTGTCCCCAGAGAGACTCTGATGGCAGATGCTCTCTGCAGCCCAGGCCCTCAAGAGCAGTGTGGCTGGTTCTGCAAGTTCAGGACTTGCCAAATGCAAGGAGGATAGATGCCAAAATCATCCTACTTCACGACACACCCTGGGCTGGGCATCTGTAGCCCTAGACCAAGAGGCGAGAGGGGAAAAAGAATAAGAAACATAGGAAAAGAAGAGAGGAAGAAAGAAAGAGAAGCATACAGGGAAAAAGAGAACCCAAGCACATAACTAATGACTCTAGTTTTCCCCTCTCCGCCCAAGAAAAGGCATGTGATCTCCTTGAAAGAGTGCTGAACCAGGAGAAAGGGGACTTGAGTCTCATCTTGGTCCTGGGTCATTTACTAAGCAGTTCTGTGGCCTGTGCCAACCTGTTTCACTTCCATAAACTCTTTTTTGTCCTCTGTAAAATAGAAGATTTGGACTAAATGGAATTCTTGTGTTTGGGCTTCCCAAACTGTGTTCCATGTATAGGGTGACCTACATTTTACCATCAAACTAAGACACTTTTAAAAATGGAAGAGAGAGCTCGGTGTGGTGGTATACACCTATAATCCCAGTGGCTTAGGAGATTGAGGCAGGAGAATCACAAATTCAAAGCCAGTCTCAGCAACTTAGTGAAGCCCTAAACAACTTAGCAAAACCTTGTCTCAAAATATAAGAAAAAATAAAATAGACTGGGGATGTAGCTATTAAGCACCACTGGGTTCAATCCCTGGTGCCAAAAGAAAAAAAAATAATTATGATAATTATTGCAGGATATGAAGCAGCCCCTGTGGTTGTCCTGGGCATATTTGGACATATCACCAACATCTCTGGCTCTCTGAAATGCTACAGGTGATTTTTGAAAAATAGAATCCTGTTAAAAATTAGTTTGAGCCAGGTGTGGTGACAAACACCTCTAATCCTAATGACTCGGGAGGCTGAGGCAGGAGGATTGCAAGTTTGAGTGAGCCTCAGCAACTTAGCAAGGCCTTGTCTCAAAATAAAAAATAAAATTAGTAATGGAAAACCCTGCCTTCCTTTGGCCTTCTCTACAGCTCATTTTGCAATGTAGTATGTGTTTGATTGCTGAGAAGTGCTGCCATTAAAACAAACACATTTGTCTAAACTTTTCTTACCCAGAACTTTCCAAATTTATTTGATTATGGAATCCTGTTCTCAGCATGGATTTTAATGTCCCTTGAAGTGCATTTATGGGATGCTAGTTCTCCTTTAGATAACAGGATATTAGAACTAAAAGGAATCCTTTCTGATTCTAATATCCTGTTATCTAAAGGAATTATGGAGCTATCTAGAAATATTATTTTTAAGCTCACCTGTTCCAGGCATGGTGCTGTGGACAGGAGGGACAGTGAGGGGGCCCAAAGTCCCTGAGGGAGAGACCTGAAAGGCAAGAGAGGCTGTAAGTATCCACTCCCACTACCTTTTCCAACCTTGGGTCCTACTCCCAACATGCTGGGTTCCAGACTGCAGAGACCAAGGCTTGACTTCATTGATTTCCTATTCCCCAAACCTACACCCCATTCTTCTTATAAGAAGGCCTGTGGACCACGTACTGCCCCATCCAGATCTCGCCCTGGTCTGTTCTGGAAGCTCCCTGGTCCTGACACCCTGCCTTCCCCGACACTGCTGTGCCCCAGCAAAGTTTCTTTGACACTACCAGGCTGAAGGTGCCTTGCCTGAGTGTCCTGGTGGGAAAATGAGCAAGCCTCGGGGCTATGCTTAGCAGATGCTGCCAGCTGCTGCCTCATTTCCAGTTCCCACTTCTCCCTTCCTGAGAAAACCCTGCCCGAGTTCAGGGCAGTAGAGTGCAGCCCTAGCAACCTTGCTTCTGGCCAACCCCCCCTGATGGGTGAATGCACCACAGATTCTCCAGAGACAATGGGAGGAGTTGAATGTTGATCTCTGGAGCTTTTTATTTTGCCCTGGATACTCTGTAGCATCATCAAGTCTGAGATTAGAAAGGGACTTAAGATAACTGAGTTTGAGCTCCCCCTCACTGTCACTACCCTAGAACAAGATATAACAGAATGGATGGATCTGGGCAGAAGACCTGGCCCCTCATCCATGTCATGTCTGCATGAGTCCAGGCAAGTTATTCAACCCCATTGAGATTCAGTTTTCTCATCTGTAAAGTAGCAGGAACATCTCCCTGATATTTTCTTTTAATTAAGATTTAATGAGATAATGTCCATAAAGCTTCCAACCCCATGGCTGGCAAAGAGGGCCAGCTTGTTAAAGGTTAGTTTCCTTCCTTCCTAAAGGAAAATGCTCTCTACCGATGCACACCTGTAGATGGTTTTCAACTCGTCTTCTGAGCTGAAATCTGCATGCTTTCACTCCCCGCTCCTTCTCAAGCTGACACAGGAGCTCTAACCAGAGTTTTCAACGGATATTGACAGACAGTTCTGCCAGGGGCCTGTGATGTGATACTCCTCCCCTCCTCGGTTTGGAACAGCCTGTCCTAACAGGATGCAGCATGTTCTCATTTCCTAATTAATCAGCAATGGTTCTTGCCTCTTGCATTTACCTTTCCTTTTACAATGAGCCTCCTCAGTAGGCTGGGGATCTGAGGAGGGTGGAGACAGGCTGGGGCACAGTTTGGGAGGGGTGGCCCAGTGCTGAGAGATATAATCAGTAATCTCCCTCCTTGCTGCCACACCTGAGAAATTTGTTGTTGTTTTCAAATAAATAATAATGTTTTTAGTCACTGTGATCCGCTCCCAGCTCCTGTCTCCTTCTGAAACCAGGCTGTGCATCTGCAAACATACAGACATATATATGTTGCCCTCCCCTTTTTCTGTACTGGGGATTGAACCCAGGGTCTCATGTACACATGCACCCTACCCCTGAGATATATCCTGGCCCTTTTATTTTGAAACAGGGCCTCACTACATTGCCTAGGCTGACCTTGAACTTTCAGTCCTCCTATCTCAGTCTCCTGAGTAGCTGGGGTGATAGTGTGTAGCACTGCACCTGGCCCCTTTTTTATTGTTTATAAATATGGTAACCAAAATTATGCCCACACTGGTATGCACCATTTTGTCTTTTTCCTTTTTCTAAATTAACTATATATTTTGGAGATCATTTCATATCAGAAGCAGAAGAAACCATGTCCTTGTCTTGTGAAGACAGGGGAAAAAGAGAATGACATCACATGTGTGTGTGTTATCATGTGCTTGTCCCCTGTGGCTGCAGGCCTCGGAGAGCAGGGCAATGCCTGTGCAGTTCTCTGCTGTATCACTAGTACCTTCACCCAGGCCTGGGAGTTGCAGATCCTCAAAAAATGTGATCAGGGAATGACAATAACAAATGAAGCTCACTCACCCTTCCTCCCATGTTGGTGTCCTGGGTGGAAATGAACCACTGTGAGACCTGCCTCCTACATTTTCTAACCAAAGCCCCATCTTCAAAGATCCCAAAGCTCTTATGGCATGGACCAAGTTCCTTAACATGGCCTCCAATGCCCTACAAATGCCCACCCCTGCTTCCCACTCCAGCCTCCTCATTCACACTCTGTTTTGCTCCTGGGCTCCCCCAATCCCAATCTTTATGATTCCTCTTCTCCCCATCCCTGCCTGACTCAGGGCCTTTGCATATACTCTCTCCTCTGCCTAAAATGTTCTTTCCGATGGTTGCTCCTGCCTAAACCCCCCAACTCAGACACTTTTCCCCATTCATATCAATAGTGCCATTCTTTTTTATGAGGTCGGTTTAAACATCTTTTCTCAAGGAAGCCTTTGACACCCTGGAGGAGGTGAGTCCTTAAACACCTGCACATCCTTTTTGACACCCATCACAACAGCATTTATTCAGTGTGTTTTCTGTAAGCAGGAATCACATGTATGTTGTACACCATGGTATCCCTAGTACCAAGCATGCAGTGAATACTTGAAGAAGCAATGATGAATGGCTACCATGTTATTTCCAACTTAAAATATTCAGCGGTTCCTTGTGGCTTTCAGGGTAACGCAGAATCCATGACACATCATTTTCCAGCCCTCATCAACCTTTCTAATTTTTAATCGCAAACCCTTGGTTGGAGCCAGACTGAAATATGTGTGATTCCCCAAAGGCGTCATGCTGTTTTATAACTGCAGGGCTTCTCGAAAGCTGCTCCTTCCTCTTGTGTGCAGTTCTTACTAATTCCTAATCTCTTCTTCAAGCATATGAGGGGATCTACTCTCCAGGACCCCATTCTGATTTAAGTGACTTTCTCGTGTGTTCCTGTGACTCGCCTACAGGCTCACCCCTGCCCACACCTCTCACACCACCTGCTTGCAATTTCTTGAACTTTTCTGGCTCTTGCTTCTCAGTTTCTGTCCCTGGTCCTCCTCCTCTGCTGGGGGTACTCGGGGTTGGAGTGTGGACCTTCCTCTTTACTCCCTCCATACAAGCTTCACAGGGAAACATCTTCTCTCCCAGGATTTCAAGCTTGGCCCGTGTGCTTGTGACTGCCCTGTCCAGGTCTCCATCCTGGCTTCTCTTCTGACCTCCAGACCCATCATTCCAGTGCCCAGGGACATTCTTGCTTAGATCATCATGATGTACAAAGCTAAACCATCACTTTTCCTCACTCCCAAACCAATTCCTCTCCACTGTCCAGTTTCCTACAGGGCGCTGCTATCTACCCCTGCCCCAGCCCAGCCTGAATGCTCAGAGTCTCCTCAAAAGTTTCTCTGTCCCTCCTCACCCTTCCTGCTCCCAGCCAGCTTTTGATTTATTAACCACAACCTTCGGCTTCTCATTCGAATCTCTTTTGTACCATGGCTTGCTTCACCCTCATTTCTCCTCTGTTGGATAAATGCGCTCACATCCTGTCTGTTCTCTCTACAGTGCATATTATATCCCTCAAGCCACCCTTTATCCTGCAGTCAGAGCCATCACTCGGAGCCAATGCCCTGCTTGAAATTCTTCAATGATTCTCCCAAACCTTCACTTCTTTTTTCCTTTTTTCTTTTTCTTTTTTTTTTTTTATACCAGGAATTGAATTCAGGGGCACTCAACCATTGAACTACATCCTAAGCCCCTATTTTGTATTTTGTTTAGAGACAGGGTCTTCCTGAGTTGCTTAGGGCCTCACTTAGTTGCTGAGGCTGGCTTTGAACTCACAATCCTCCTGCCTCAGCCTCCCAGCAAACCTTCATTTAAGTCCACACACCATCCTTCAATATCAACCCAGCCTTGTCTCTCAAGGCTCCTCCTCTTGGAACTATTCGCAGTTGGGTGAATGAGCCATATGATCTGCTCCACGTGGCTGCTCTCCTGCTCTCTGAGGAGAGCTCCGCCTCACACTTCCCCGCCTCTCATTCCTTCCTGCCCTTTTAGACTGAGCTCAGGTATTAATGATCTCCTTGGAGAAGTGTCCCTAACCGTCACCTCCCAAGGTCTGTTAGTAAGTGCTAGAGAAATGATCATGTTGTTGTTCGTCGTTTGTTTATCTGTCTGCCTCCTCTGCTAGGCAGCGAGGTCCTCTGGGACAGGGAACAAACGGTATTTATCTTTTCATGGTTAGAAAAAGATACCAGCTCTCAGCACAAAGACCAGTAGGTGGTCAACAGATGTTTGGTGAAAACTCAATAGTGATATAATTTTTATGAAATTGCTGTGTCTCACCCTGATAAGGCTGATTTTTTTTCAATTTTGATTATTGGTGCATTATAATTATATATGATGGTGGAATTTGTTGTTACATAGCCATACATATAACACCATGTAACAACATAATTTGGCCGACATCATTCCCCAGTATTTCCCCTTTTCCTCCATCTTCCCTCTCCTTGGTCCCTTTCCTCTACTGATGGCCCTTCTATTTTCATGAGATCCTTTCCCACATTTCTTTTCCTTTTTCCTCTCTAGCTTCCACATGAGATAAAACATATAACTCTTGACATTCTGAGTTGGCTTACTTCCCTTAACAATGTTGTCGAGTTCCATCCATTTTCCTCAAATGACATAATTTCATTCTTCTTTATGGTTGAATAAAACTCCATTATATAGGTCTACCACATTTTCTTTATCCATTCATCTATTGATGGACACTAGCTGGTTCCACGGTTTGGCTACTGTGAACCGTGCTGCTCTAAACATGGGTGTGCAGGTATCACTATAGTGTGCTGATTTTAATTTTTTAGGATAAATACTGAGGAGTGGTCCAACAAGGCTGAATTTCAACCACAGTAGGTGCTAGAAGACCCAAGGACATCATCATCTTCAACTTTCTTGACCTTCAACCATCACCGTCCCAGAGATAGGGGAGAAAATCTTCTCCCCTGCCATCCAGGTCCCGTGTTCCCCTATCCCCCAAATTTCCACATATATTCCTGGAACTCCAAATTATTCCCACCCTGACTTTTCCCTTGGACACCAGAGTCACAGACTTAACTCCCCAGTTCCTCTTGGATGCCTAGTAGCATGTCCAACTTAATAAAACCGCCCCAAATTCTCAAGTTCTTTTGTCCCTCAAGCCTGCTTTTCCTGCCATCTTCATCTCTAAAGCTGATGGGGCCTCCCAACCAGCTGCGCAGTTTCCAAAACCTTTAAAGTCACCTTTGCTCCTTTCCTCACAGTCCCTACTGAGTCATTGGCACATCCTGTTGGCTCCACAGCTGAAGTTTATGCAAAGTCCTACCATGTCTCACCCCCGTCACCATGGCTACCATCCATGGCTACCACCCCAGCCAAGCCTCCACCGCTCTCAGGCTGATGACCATAATTCTCCTCGTCTCCACCCAGGTCACTCTCCACGCAGAAGCCCATGTCAACCCGCTCAGACTTCCCTGTGGGACTCTCCAACCATCTCTTGCTCTACTGAAACTAGAATCTCAGGTCCTTTGGTGAACTCCGAGACCCTGGGGGAGTCTGCTCCCCGCTACTTCTCCTTCCTTCCTCCCCTTGCTCTGCCCCAGGTACAATGGCTTCCTTGCTGCTCCTGGAACATGCAGCATCTTTTACTTCTTGGCCCTCTGCCTGGGTCCCTCTTTCCCCCAGATATCCACGTATTTCATTTCCTAGCAACACTTAGAGTTCTGCTCAAATGCTACCTTAACAAAGAGGTCCTCGCTAATCTCACTCTTAAAAATCCTCCCACCCATCACTTTACACCCCATTGCCCTTCCGGTCTTCTTTATGTTATGTATTACACTCAGCATCTCCTTGCTTATTTATGTGCTGCATATCCTGCGCCCCACTAACCACCACCTTCCCAGGGTGCAGGTGACTCTGTGTCGCGCCCCCATCCCTCTGCACTGCCCATAAGTACCTGGCAGGCACTTGGTTCCTGGCCACTTACCATCCGGGAGCTGTAGACAGGTGACTTCATGGGTGTGGCCACAGGGCAGTTGATTCGCTTCTCCTTCTGGCGTCGGTTGCAGAACCAGACCCTCACCACCTCCTTCTCCATGGACAGCTGCTCTGCAATCATGGAGATCTCTTCTGAACTGGGTTTAGGGTTCTACAGGGATGAAGGGACAGAATGTGATCAGCAGAAGGGAACAGGATCAAAAATCAGGAATGAGGGATAGATGTTCCAAAGAAGCAGGATTGGACAATATATGGATCAGAAGCTTTAGAGTCAGTTCTAGGATGGGATCCTCTTAATCACTACACACTGTGTGTCTTTGGGAAACTTTATTACCCTATCTGAGCTTCAGTCTTATCTATGAAATAAGAACAATAGTGCCCATCATGGAGGGTTACGGTGAGGATTAAATGAGAAAATGTGTGTAAATTGCCAAGCAAAGAACTGACAGAGTACAGGCTCCATAACAGCAGGTCTCGGCTCTCGCTCCTTCCCTCAGGAGCAGCTCTGAGGACAGAGGTCCAGGGTGAGCTATGTGGGGTGGGGAGCAGAATCCCCAGAACCCGTGCTTTCTCAGAACCTGATATCCTTCCTCTTGTCATCTCTTACAAGGAGAGGAGGATGCTAAAACTCGTGCCCTTGTCACGTCTTCAGGGTAGCTGTGCAAGAATATGAGGTCATCATGCCTCATTCAGGCCCCGCCACCCAGGTCTATTTTTATGTTTTGGTGCTGGGAATTGAACCCAGACCCAGAGGCACTCAACCACTGAACCACATTCCCAGCCCTATAAATATTTTATTTAGAGACAGGGTCTTGCTAAGTTGTTTAGGGCCTCATTAAGTTGCTGAGACTGGCTTTGAACTTGTGATCCTCCTGTCTCAGCCTCCCATGCAGCAGGGATTATAGGCGTGTGCCATCAACCCAGCTCCAGTCTGTGGTTGAGCCCCTCTCTCCACACTTCTGCAACCACCCTATACTGTCCTGTTCTGAGAAGGGAATGCCAGCTTTGGGAATCCTGCCAGCAGTATGCAACCATCAAGTCCCTGAGTCAAATGCACTGGGGGATCTGCTAGTGGGGTGGCAATCTCAGGCTCAGGCCTATAAGTTTGGGTGAGAGCCTGGGCCTCAGAGGTGGGTGGTACCAAGCATGGCTCTGGAGGCTGGAATCTGAGAGATCCTGGCTGGAAGCTCTTGGGCTTCTGTTCCCTGGCTCCCGGTGGGGTCCATAGCTTCCACATGCTTTTGTCACAAAAGTTCATAAAAACATATAATATGATAACAAGTGCACAATATGGTCACAAGCACTTAAATGTGCACAGGAAAAGGGAATAGAAGAACATGTATTCAGATAGCACTGGAGGGTACATTTTTTTCTTTCTATTTCTTTCCCTGTATTTTCCAAATTGTTTAGGATGAAACTTTATTATCTTTCTAATTTGAAAAATGCAAAATTTATCTTTAAAAAGATGGAGTTTATATAGGACACCCTGATTTTTTACCTTTACCCTGATTGGACACAATCTCCTGGGTCTCTATATTCCTCCTAGTGAGAGGGACAACGGATTCCAAATAAATGCCAGAACACAAAGGTTCAGTGGTGGGGAGATGCTTCTGGAACCCTAGGTGAAGGGCAGCCTTCCACTCAAATCCCAGGGCACTTGGAGACAGAAGGTGATGTGACAGGTGTGCTGGGGAAAGAGCTGGTGCCCAGGGCCCAGCTTTCCAGCCCTGTGGTGCCTCCTTGTCCACCTGAGCAGGTCGGCCCACCCATTCTCACAGAGGGGGCTGCTCACATCTTGAAATCTCTTCTCCAGAGTCAGGCGGATGTTGGTCTCGATGCTGGTCCGTTTCTTCCTCTTCCTGCCAAACACTTCACTGAGGGTGGGGTAGGAGTTAGGTGCGCTCACTGAGGGGTCTGACGGAGAGGACTCTGAGGGAGGCACAGGAGCAAGAGAAGCTCAGAGAAGGGGATGCACAGGGGGTCAGGCCCTGCCACGGTGGACTCGAGGTCCTACAGCCCTTCCCAGTGGGTTCTGCAGTAGCTCTTTCAGGACGGGCCCCCTCCCGCAACAGGGGACCCAGAACAGACCAAGATCCTGCTTCTTCTCGTTGCTCTGGGCAAAGGTCCTCCTGCCTCTCACCACAGTCTCCAGTGTTTGTGGTCATGGTTCAGGGAAGTCCGGACATGAGCGGCATGTGTGGGTGTGAGTGGGCACGGGCAGAGCTCCAAGTAACACTGGCGACTTTGTTTCTTAGAGATATGTCTGGATGTGAACACCAAGTAAAATGGCATTCTGAGCCAAAGACACTGGTACTTGGTGGCAGAATGTTTGTAGTGAAGCCATTTGTTGGTCAGCAAGAGTGCTGAAGCTAAGGCTGTAACTGGGCAGGAGGGTTATGCCTTAGGAAGGACTGAAGCATCAGTCGGGGTCACTCTGCAATGATCCATAGGCCCTTTCTCAAAGATTCTCGGGCCCTCTAGTCATTTCTTTTCTTCTTCTCTCTCTCTTATTTATTTATTTATTCATTTTGGTACTGGGGCTTGAAATCAGGTTCACTCTGCCACTGAGCTATATCCCCATCCCTTTTTATTTTGAGCCAGGGTCTTGCTAAGTTGTCTAGGCTGGCCTTCAACTTATGATCCTCCTGCTTCAGCCTCCCAATTAGCTGGGATTACAGGTGTGTGCCACTACACCCAGCACCTCTGATCATTTCTTCTACTTCAGTGCTTCAGTAGAAGTTGTCTCAGGGCCGGCCTGATGGGGCAGGACTTCCTTGCTCCCTCCCAAGCTTCTGCATGGAGGGACTTCAACAAGGGTCACATACCCACTCTGGCTATCCACCCTGCCCTGTCTGCCCTCTTCACCTAGACCAGGGGTTCTCAAATAGGGGCCACTGCACCACCACTCCCCTGGGGACACTTGGCAGTGTCTGGAGACATTTTGAGGTGTCTCAACCCAGGGCAGGTGGCTGTTAACTATTCTGCAATGTATAGGCCAGTCCCCACAACAATAGGCCACAAATGTCCATATGAGAAACCCTGTCTTATGCTCACCCTGACACCAAACTCTTCTGGCATTGTCCCAAACACCTGGCCCCTTGGCTTACAACCTTGACCTCTCAGAAAGACTGATCCTCACGGATCCTCCTGCATACTTGGCCAGTCTAGATGGCAATTGCTGCCTGTCCCCTAAATCCTACTCCAGAAGTGTCTAGGGAAGACCTTGTGCTGTGCTGTGGTCTCCCCATCCCACTGAGTCTCTTGAAGCCTGACTGTCCTATCTCTCTAGATCTACTCTAGAGAGCAATCTGGGTAAGTGCATCTGCCCTGCAGACCCAGATTTACCTCCAGGGAGATTCCTAAGGTCTAGGCTGGGTGGTTCTAGGGTAAGAAGTGGAATGACCTGGGAGCATATCTTCATGGCTACAGACCTAAAGTCATGTCCCACAAAGAGCTTTCTCAGTAATGAAGCTGATCCTGTCATCTCTACTTGCCTGTCTCCTAAGTCTTATTTCTCAATTCATTCTAGAATCAGGAGGAGGAGAAAGGGGTGCTATTTCTGCAACCTCGAAAGCCCCGCACATACACATATCACTGGAATGATTCCTAAGGCCCCCGTCTAGGTCCCCCTCCACGTCCCCTCTTCCAGGCCTACCTGCATCATTCAGCCACTTCTCTAGTAGCGGCTTGAGCTTGCACATGTTCTTGAAGCTCAGGTTGAGGGCCTCGAACCGTGAGATGGTGGTCTGGCTGAAGTCGTTGCCATACAGCTTTCCCATCGCCAAGCCTACATCGCCCTGCACAGGGGACCGAGAGGGAGGGTGTGATGGACAGGCTCCTGTTGCCTGCATGCCCACCACACTGGCCCCATCACACATCCAGCAACACCATCAGTACCCACCCATGACTTCAGCTCCTTTCTAAGTCTTTTCCCACTGCCTGGTAGAGGAACATATGTCCTTAGACTCGGAATAGACTGAGTCCTTTCCGGGCCTTCCTTCCTCTCCTCCCCAACCAGCAATGTCCTCGGTTGCCCCGCTACTGATAACTGTGCTCTCTTCTCGGGGAGCTCAGGGACATGAAGGGCTTGTTCCAAACACATGGAGCCTCAGGTAGCTCTTGAATCCTGCACTTGGGAAGCCCTATTCCCCCTCTCTCGACTTCACTCTTTCCATCTCCTACCCCCAAACCAAACCTGTGTGAAGCCCAGCTTAATGCGCCTCTGCTTGAAGGTCTTGGCAAACTTTTCCAGCTCCTCGAGGTCACTAGGCTCATCTGCCCCTCCAGAGTTGGGTAGATGCTTAGGCACTGGGAGATGCTGTGATGCTTCCAGATGGGGTTCTAAAGAGGATCCTGGCAGCCCAGGGCGCCCAACTGCCTGGTAGGGGAACACATACCAAGCAGGTCCACAAAGATTTCAACAGGCTGAAGAACATTCTCTGTGGAGTTTGTTACTAACAGGTCCCACTAGAGGATGGCTTGGATACATTTAGTCCTGTATTAGTAATGGTGTGGAAGTGGAACATGGAGTTTCTATAATGATATAGCAAATAACTGGGCTACCTGGGGCAGAAACCACAGGAGTTCAGGATAGGGAGGTGGCTTTCTGGGTTTTGGTCCATGACTCACTGTTTGAGCAGGTTATTTCCTCCTTTCAGTTTTCCACCATAAAAGGAGATTGCAAGGTTGTTTACAGAGATTCCAAAAACAAATCTCAGAATGGGACAAGAAAAAAGGTGTTTACCTTGTCTGTGTTTTTCCATATGCAAGGTAACATGAGGTGTCCAACAGGCACCAACTGAAGATAACAGAGGATATCGGGAACTCATGGCTTTAACAGAACTTCCACATGGTCTCAAACTCCATGAGCCCTACTTTACTTTCTACACCACCATTTTCTCTTGTAAGAGTGTTTTGGTTTTAATCAAAGGTATATTTATCAGTGCAATCGAAATGTGCCTTGATCTCATTCGTGGTTGTCAGGAAATACTTTTTTAAAATATATATTTTTTAGTTGTAGACAGACACAATACCTCTACTTTATTTATATATTTTTATGCTGTGCTGAGGACCGAATCCTGTGCCTCACACATGCTAGGCAAGCGATCTACCACTGAGCCACAACCCCAGCCCCCAGGAAATACTTTCTTTAATCTGTTTTTGGAGGGAAATGTACTATTAAATCTGCCTGTTCGAGGGTCAGAAATCCAATCTTGAAATAACTCTGATTCCACAAAGATGAGTGCAATCCACATCTAGGGGGCCAGGCACTGTGTCAGCTCAGAGGCTACTGCCCATGTGGACAACTCGGGCTAAATCCACTTTCTCTCTGCTTCCCGGTATTCTCTTTTCCAAAACTGAGCTAACTCCTCTCTCCCAAAGATATTCAGGGTTACCAGTCAGGTGGGCATCCTTATAGTGAAGAGGAGAAAAGAACCAGAGGCAAGTTAAGGACTCTTTTCCCCAAGAAAAGTCTTTTAAACAGAATGGATTGAAAACCATCATGGAGTGGTCCCTGTTTTGCAGGGAGAGGATGGGCAGGGAGGTGGCATACACTGGACCTTCAAGGCAAAGTCTCAGTCTTCTTTGAACCTTTCTTTTCATTATTTGTTCTTTCATTTGACAAATACTTATTGAGTTCTCTGCTAGACCACTTTCCTCCCCCATCCCCTTCACACCACATCAGTTACCAAGCTGGTCAGTGAATGCCTGTAATCCCAGCAGCTCAGGAGGCTGAGGCAGGAGGATCACAAGTTCAAAGCCAGTCTTAGCATCTTAGTGAGACCCTAAGCAACTCAATAAGAGCCTGTCTTTAAATAAAATACAAAAAAGGGCTGGGGATGTTGCTCAGTGGTTAAGTGCCCCTGGGTTTAACCTCCGGTACAACAATTTTAAAAATTAGTTATCAAATTGCATAGATTCGACTTCTCAAACATCTTCTTACCCATTCCTTCTCTCTATTCTTATTACCATAACTCTAAGATAATCCCTTATTACCCTCCAGAACAATCTTCTTCTTCTTCTTCTTCTTCTTTTTTTTTTTTTTTTTGAGATGTTGCCCAGGCTGTCTTTGAACTTCTGGGTTCAAGTGAACCTCTTGCCCCAGCATCCCAAGTAGCCCTGGGACTGCAGGTGCACCATCCCACACCAACTACCACGATCTCAATAATCTTCTAAATGGTTTCTCTGCAACCAGTTTCTTCATGATCAAATGTTAGAAGATGAGAGAATTTATCTTGAATTCTCACTAGGTCCTCTTCCAGATCCAAGTCTATGACCATGAGACTCTGGAAGCAGCCAGGAGGAGGAGGTAAGGTGCAGTTCACCATTCTGGTGTCACCATTTCTTTTAACCACTAGGTGGCGTCTCCTGCTTCCACTCCTCCACTAGCCCTCCGCAAAGCTGGGGCCCTTAAGAAGCCATGGGGATCTTAGCACAGAGAAAGGACACTGTACGTGTCTGCAGTCACTTCCAACCATCCCATCCATCTGTAGAGAGACAAGTCCTGCCACTTCATAGGAGCGCCCAGATGAGGGAGTAGATAGAGCCACTGCTGCTGTTGCCAAGCCACACACCTGGTACGAAGCTGCAGCTGGCCAGATAAAGAGGCATCTTTTTTTCCCTAAGTGGCAAACAGGCACTGTGTGGAACCATGGTAGCTCTGCAAATGGCCTCTCTCCTAAACCCAGACCTGTGCCCACTGCAGGACACAGTCTGGAACAGTGGGCCTGAGGTGAGAGACATGGGCTTTGTAGTCCAGGACATCAGGCCTACGGTACTCAACTCTACTTCTTGGGGCTTGAGAGCACCCAGGAAGACATGGTGGTCACCTTGCTATACCTGGGGAGCTAGATGACTCCTGGTCTTCAGAGGAGAACTACTAGGGCCTGCAACACGCTGCAGGTTAGAGTGGGAGTTGGAACCCCTGGGTTCTCATTCTAGCCTCACTATAGTGACCATGAGAAAACCGTCTCCCCTAACCGCACCTTGGATTTCTTTATGCTGCAGTGCCTGGCTGGTTCCTTTTCCCAGAGGAGTAAGTACCCTAGTAAAGGGATAGGGAAACCCCAAGGAGCTGAACTCTGCCTAGAGCTAAGACATTCCGAGAGGAAACAGGAGGAATGTGGTGTTTACCTGGGATGCAAGGCCAGGCCCCGTCTGTGGGAGGATGAGGCTGTTCTGTTGTGGAAAGGGGAGAAGATTTGGCTGCAGACCTGTAAAGGGGGGACAGATAAAGGAAGAAACAATAAATACCAGGCCATCTGAAGGACACGCTCAACCCTGGAACCAAGGAGTACTGTCCCCCCACCTGCTACTGATCAAGTCTCTGGACCCTCCTGGAGCCCTGTGGAGAGGCCCCCATAGGCACTGCCAGGTATTGCCACATACAGGCGGAGGCAAACCAGACACAGGGATAAACAGAGATGTAAACAGCAGTCCCCAAACCAGTCCTTCCGCTTGTCTGCCTGCCTGGAGAAGCACAAAGGCTAAGGAGGGTCAACCCAATCTAGGCTGGGATCTGACTAGCAGGGCTAGGAACCCTGAGGGCAGGGTGCAGGGCGATGGCTGAGAATCTCAGTGGGAGATGAGAATTTCAGTTTTTCCTGCGGGGAAGTAACTGGGATGGCTACAAAAGGCCATGCTAAATCTGCAGGAATGTCAGACCAAGCAGATGGCGCCATGCAGCTCTGAAGGGCAGTGAGCCCTTGGTCAGAGGCTTCCGGCCAACCAGGACACTGTTTAGTTGAAAGGAAGGGCAGAAAGAGGGGAAGGACACTCCCTTGGGTGGTAAGGTAACACCTGCGGCACTGCCTGGGGACCTCTTTCTCCTTCTTTCTCCATGTCCATAAAGGCTCTGCCTGTCTGTGGCCATGATAGGTGACCCCCAACCTCGGGAAACCTGCAACTGGAATTCCAAACTCTCACAGAAGGGGTGGGACTATCAAACTGGCAAAGCAGACAATGGGGGGGCAGGTCACCCCAATCACCCCAAAGAAGCACCCTGGGGTGTCTGTTGTCCCTAGGCTGTTTTGGGTCATTGATGTTCTGCATCTGCTGATGTTGACCTTTATGCTCTTCAGTCATGAAAAGTCAGGGGATAATTGTTCCTTATTAAAATAATTAGGCTGGGCTGAGGTTATGGCTCAGTGCTAGAGCGCTTGCCTAGCACATGAGGCACTGGGTCCAATCTTCAGCCCCACATAAAAATAAATAAAGCTATCTATCTATACTTAATAAACAAATAAATAGGCAATAAAGCTCTTATTAGGAACCCTGAGACTTAGTACCAATAGCAACTCTAACTTGATATTGCATTGTGAAGTGTACAAAGTCTTCTCACCTGCATTATTTCAAGTAATTCTCAATAACCTTGGGAAGTAGTGTTTTAGTATTCGTTCTTTTTTAGGGAGAAGGCAATAGAAGTTTTGAGACGTTAAGTGAATTTCCCCAAGGACACACAGATAGTGAGTGATTTTCTTTTTTAAGCAATGAGCTATTCTGACTCAAAATTTCAAATTTCCCCCCTCTTCTTGCATCATATACAAACTCACTGGTTATGTGTCTGGGACATTTTCATGTCACTCTCTTGTCTTCTGCAAACACTGAATTATGTTATCTTCCTATTCCTATGATGTGTGCTGTTTAGCTGAAATAAACACTTGAAGGTTCAAATATGTTCCTGTTCATCCCTAATGATATTCCGAGATGCCTTAAACACTAAGTATAGGGACTACAGTCTGGGCTGGTGCTAATGATGGAAGGCAGATTTGCATTTTGTTTGGAGTCTGGAATTTCAAATCCTCTACTTGGGATTTATGAAACTGGCAAGAATTTATACTTTCTCCACCATTTTCAGCCCTAGTTGGTGGAGACGGGAGTGGGAGAAGCAGTGTAGTGTGATGGCCAAGAGCAAAGATCTCAGACTGCTCTGGAACTTCCCAGTAGGTCATCAGAGGCATAATGCAACTGCCTACCCTACGAGGTTATTCTAAGGAATAAGTCAGGAATATCACTTAGCAGAACCCTTAGCACATTGTGCTCAAGAAATGTTAGTTATCATGATTAAGAGCATAGTCTGTTTGCTCTTGGCCAGAGAGAAGCTCCCTGGGAGTTACATATCCGCAAAGACAACCTGAAAAGCCTTCTACAGCCTGTGGGAGGCACTGCTGCTCCATCCAAATAAAATCCCAGCCAGACTTCAGGAGGCCAAAGTCTGCATCAGTCTGGCAAGATTGCCCAGGAATCAGGATGTATCTGGGTATCTGCGCGGCACTTCCCAGGGGGCCCCTCCGTCCCTGTACCCCTGCCCACCAACCACTCCTGCGCTTTCAGTGTCAACTCTCCATGAAACTGAGGTGGTGGGCCAGTCCTGGCAAGAGGCTGGGCAGGGGCAGTAGGGAAGGCACTAAACCTACAGAGGCACTGCCAGGAGCCTATTCCGACAAGCTGATCTGAACACTAGAGGGGTAAGCAGTTCCCTGTGTCCAGGACCCAGCAGGCAGCAGTAGTACCCGATCGACCGGACTCGGGCTTTGCGGAAATCCCAGGTTCTCACCTTGCTGCCCAGGCTGGGTCTGAGAAAGCAGGAACTGGGAAACAGACTGCAAGTGGCCGGGAACCAGCACAAGCTGTTGGAGCGGATGGAGAGAAGCCATGTCCTGCAGGAGGGAAGAGGCACAAACAGAGCAGAATTTAAAAGCTTGGGGACCCTAGCTCCCTCAGCCTGCGGCCCACCCAGGCCCTCCGTGTTCAGACTTGAAGTTTGCAGGCAGTGACCTTGTCTCATGCTACCACGTGGCCCTGGCACATGGCACAGAGTAGCTACTCCACTGATGCAGCAGGTGCTGTTACGCTTCCCTGCTCAGCCTCGCAGTCCTCGCAATGCTCTTAATTCTGGCCTCATGATTTAATTTTTCTGTGTGTCAACTGTGTCTCACAACTGTAAATGCCCCAAGGGCCAACGTTGGATATTACCCATGTCTGAAAGATTTATCCTAGAAATGGCATGCAATCCCAAGTGTCTTTTGCTTATTTTTTAACCACATGTCACTTGATTACGCCCAAAGCCATGCTTTAGCCATTTCCATATCTGAGTCTTTCTAGACATTATTGAGGAGGGAGTTGGGAGATGGGGCAAGCTATGGAGTTCTTAATAAAACCAATTTGGTTCAACAGAAAGTCCATTTACCCTGGATTTCTCTCACCAGCTCAGGTAGAAATAGCAATCCCAACCTTTGGGGAATCTGGGAGTCTTCTGTGACCCAGACCCCAGGGCTCGGTACCCCTACAGGGTTGAGCTTAAGTCTGTGTGGAGAGATTTGGTAACCCTTGCTGAAGGAAGGGGTGAGGGAATGCCGCAATTTCTGGGACAAGGGAGGCTCTTTCTTCCCCAGGTGACCCAAATTGAGAAAAGAGCTGGCCTCAGGAACACCAGCTAAGACCTGCACCGTAACTGTCTCAGTACGCCTCTCTTCCCGCACCAGCACTCCATCCTAGTTTAGCTTTGACATATAACCTTGGAGGAGACAGAGCGGGCCCACTAGGGACAGAAAACTCCTGTGGCTGTATGTGTCACCACAGACTGCCCTGAGGCACCAGTAGCATAGCTGTTAGGTCCTTCATGTTGGCAAGACTGGGTCCTTTTGTCCCACAGAGGTAGAGACCTGCCTCTCCACATTCTTAGCCAGGATTTACCTTTCATGGACTATTTAGGGGTGACCCTCCCCTTTCTCAGGCCTCCTAGATGTCCTCCCATTGCCTACAGGGGGTTCTTCAGACCCAAATAGATTCACAAAGTGCCCAGTGTAGAAGTCTAGATTTTGTAGAGGGATTGGATTAAATTCACTGGCCCACTGGAAAAAAATCAGGATTCCCTGGCAGGGGTTGGTACTCACCCCAGACATTTGGTTCCCAGACATCATGGCAGGTCCTTGGCTCAGGTGGCATGGCCGGTGGGAGAGGGTCTGCTGCAGGGAGTCACTGAGGTCCTCCGTTTTAATCTGCAAGCAGAGGTGGAAGGAGTGTCAGCTCTGGGTCTCTACAGGTGGGCAGAAATGAAAATGCGGAGAAGACAAAGCTAGGAGAGGAGGGACGACCTTGGGCAGGGCAGGTGGTCAGGGATATGTGTGTAGCCACTGGACTCTGGCGCACTGCTCTGTAAGACAGGGAGCCTGCTTAGGCTGGCGGTGCCCCAAGACTGTGCTGAGGGTGATTAATGCTCTTCCTCATTCAAATGAGAAAAACCAGGATGTTGTAGTGACTTCAAAATAAAGCTCAATGGATGAAATTCTGGTAACTTCTGAGATGGAATTTTTTTTTTCTTTAGCAGAGAAGCTATTGGGATTTTTTAAAAATGAAATGGTGGTAATCCTGAATGATATTTTTAAAAATTCTCCACTCCAAAGAATAAAGCATTGGCCGTGCACAGTGGTGCATGCCTGTAATCCCAGGGACTCAGAAGGCTGAGGCAGGAAGATCACAAGTTTGACGCCAGCCTGGGAAATTTAGAAAGATTCTTTCTCAAAATGAAAAGGGATGGAAGTGTAGTTCAGAACCTCAGAAGAACATACACACAAACGGTGAAGAAATGGTAACCGTTTTTGATTTCCCCAAGTCTTTTTTATTTTCCTGTGGAAGCCTATCCATGAATACCTACTCTGGAAACTACTGATATGGAGAACAGGGCTTCCCTTGATCTCTTCTTCTCCCCTCTCTGTGTTAAGCTGCCTCTGTAGGGGTCCTCTTGGCCTGTGTGGCTCTGGGGACAATTTGCCTGTCTCCCTACAGGTGGGGACATGTCTTCTTCACAGCCACTGCTGCAATTGCAGCCTTCAGGGCCTGCGGTGCTTTCCAGCTCTCTCCAGTTTCCACCACCCTTCAGTGACACACCAACCACCCACCTGTGGGCTTCCCAGGTGTCCTGGGGCAGGGCAGGAGGTGCTCCACCCCAGGAAAACTACTCTCTTATAGCCTTTCAGGAAGTCCACTGGGAGGGGAGCCAAGTGACTTTGAATTCATATAATATGGCAAAAAACACAGGATCTAGACCACACCTTATAAAAGACATTGACAAGACCCTTTGAATAGGACAGCTGGTTGTCCCCTACCCAGATGGAAATGGCCATAGAGATTATGACAGAAACCACTTTCTTGATCAACAGTGGAAATATCACTGACATCCGCATCTCTCCTGTCAGGATTATTTTAACCCCAGTAAAATGTTGAGACTAACAGCTGTATTTGTGCTTCATCCCTATAGAGAATGACACTTTGGAACACTTCAGTAGGACAGTTAGGACAGTTAGAAAAGTTCTCCCGAGTGACACTGGAGACCACGGGCAGAATTAATATCCTACATATGGTGGCTTGCTTGCTCCTGTGGGAACTCAAGGAATGTTAATTGAATAAAAGACAAAAATCCACCTCTGCAGAGACTCCAGTAAGATAAGGCGAGGAAGACACTGGACAGGGAGTGAGGTTGTCCCCGTTTCCAGGCCTGACTCCGATTCTAATTACGGAATCTTGAGCAATCATTCTGCCTTTATGGGACTCAGTTTCCCCATCAGTTTTGCAAAGACTACATGGTTTCTCTGCCTTTCTCCCTGTGCATTTGGCAGCTTGGCTAGTCCAGGTTCCTGCAGTGTTCTTGGGTGAAGCAGATCCAAGAGGACACTGAAAATCCCTGGAGAATGGTAAGAAGCTGGCTTCTACAGGCACAGTCTATTTTTTGAGACCATCCTGGAACCTTGGAAGCAAAGAGGAGAAAGCGAGATGGACAGTCGCACTATGAGGACAGAAAGTAACTTTCTGAAACCTCAAAAGTTTTGGTATGTGAGTAGTCTCCAGTGAGCCCCCCTTCGCCCCACCCCCACGCCCCTTGAGCTCTGCATATCATTCACTCTAGGCACCTTTAAGAAGTGCTAGTGCCAGAGTTCTGCACCCAGAAATTAGAGTTTCCACATCCTAGGTTCCTGGAAACACCTGTAAGCAGGTTTTTTAAAACTAGAAATAGATGATAAAACTAATTATCTCAAAACAACCACCACAAGAGCTTTAAGGTTTGCTCTGAGAAAAGAAAAGGCTTGGCCTCCAGTTCCCATCCCTGCTCTGTCCCTCTCTCACACCAGGGCATCTCTACCCCCCCACCCCCCTACCCCCCAGTCCTCCGTCCTGCTGGGGGGGGGGCGCAGCAGGACGGAGGACTGGGACCAGAGAAAACGTGAAAAGCTGGAGGTGAAATCTTGCTGGTGGAAGCGCCTCCAGCAACCTGGCTCAGCTCCAGCTTGGAGGCAAGTGGCAGAGGTTCCTTTACAGACTCATTATGCGCAATGGAGAGATAAGGAGGTGCAGCCGTGACAGAGCTTGAAAACATGCGCTTTGCTTCCAACCCAGGCGCTATCTGTTAGAATCCCTGCCAGGTCGTCCTGCAACACTTAATTTCAGAAACCAGAGCCACCATAAAAGAAGACTCACCCTTTCATCTGCTTTCTGGATCCATTGCCCTCCAAACTCCTTTGGGGGACACTCCTGACCTCCCACTTTTGAAAATGAAGTGCTCTTGTAGTAGAAGTCCCTTGGGTGTGACCTGGGGCTTTCTGACAACTCTGTGTATTATTCCACTTTGGATTTTTTTTTTCTGGCTTCATTCTATTATTTTTTCTAATTCCTCACCCTCGGGGGTGAGGTGCTAATGGTAACCCCCAAAGAAGACAATCCTAAACTAGCCAAATTGAAAGACAACAAGGAGACCTCTTTCTGGATGATAAGTTTTAAAATTTCAGCTTTGCTGACTGGGGGGCGTAGCACTCGCTGGGTTCAACCCCAGCACCACAAAGAAATAAAATCGAGGCTTTGCTCCGTGGGCTCAGAGCACAGTGGCATGTACTTGTAATCCCAGCAGCTCCAGAGGCCGAGGTAGGAGGATCCCAAGTTCAAAGCCATCCTCAGCAATTCAGCAAGAACCTGTCTCTAAATAAAATATAAAAAATGGCTAGGGATGTGACTCAGTGGCTAAAGGCCCCTGGGTTCAATCCCTGGTACCAAAAAGAAAATGAAAAAAAAAAAATACAGAACTGGAATAGGAAGGGGAGTGGAGAGGGTACTGCCTCCTGCATACCTGTGAACAGGGGCTAAGAAACTAAGAAATCAAGAAATAAAGTCTTCTCTAATCCAAAAAATCCCTTTTCACAGCTGTCGAGTGGAAAAGGTTGGAACCTTTCCAGGCAACTGGGTGTTGGCTGTGGATCTGGAAGATGAGATAGAGAGACTTCTGTTGGATCCCATTGACTTCTAAGGTGAGAACCGCAGGCGAATTGGACGAAAACCCAATTTCCCCCGTACTTGTGAAAACCCAACCAAACCCACAGCCTGCCTGGAACCACGAAGATCCCCTCCAGGGTCTCTCTGGCAGTTTTTCTCACGCAAGTGGAATATTTCTCCGGGCTCTACCTGGAATGGCTAATCCCTGGGGACAGGGGCCACCATGGCACGCTCTGCTCTGTCCCAGGCACGAAGCACGGTCCTCCGACCAGACAAGGTTTATTAGTCTAGGATCTTCTCCGCCCACTGTGCTGTGGAAAGGTGTTACACTGAGTCTTGGGCAGTGACCAGGGAGGTGAAAAGGTATCATGAATGATTATCTTTTCTAATCCCAGTGAACTCTCTGACTTCACTCACTGTAGAAAGCGGTAGCTCCTTCTGGAAGGCGGGAGCCCCTTCTGAGGAGAAAGCCCTTCACACATTCCCTTCTGGGCTCTGCCTTCCAGCCCAGAGGATGAGGACAGGGCTCTGCTTCCCATCTCACAGAGGCCCAGGGAGCTTCAGAAATGGGTAGGAAGTTATGCAGCCAGATGCTGGCAAAACTCCTGGTGCTCACTCCACCAGACAGAACCAGAAATGGCCCAGAAATAGGAAAAGAGAGAAGACCACAAGTGAGGGGGGAAGTGGTGTTCCATTCCAGACATATGCCTGGGCCTCCCCATTGCCTGCCTTTTGGGGGGCTTTTAGGGGTACTGTCTTTAGATCCCTCCCCAGGACATTTTCACATGCCCTCCCGGGATGGGGGGGAAAGAGTCCAACACTAATGAATATATCACTGGTGATGAAAATGATCAAAGCTGTTGTCCTAGTTGCATAACTCGTTGTGGAAAGTGTTTCATAAACATTTCACAAGAAGGAGCATTTCAAAGCGTGAACATCTCCCGACCTGCCTTCAATTACAGGCAAGGCTTTTTTTCTTTCTTTCTTTCTTTATTTCTCCCCCCTTCTATATTTCTCCCTAGCAGTGAGGAAGAGTTTCTGTTTTGTAACTGATCCATAAAGAGCTGGCAAGTGTGTTCCTCTTGCAAACATTCTAAAAATATATTCCAAGTGGTGTAATGGGGCAGGCAGGTAACTCATCTAAAGGTTGAAAGTACCCCATACAGGTGAATGTTGGCTGCATGCTATTGTTTTTTTCTTTCTTTTTTTTTTTTTTGCAGTACTGGGGATCGAGCCCAGGGCCTCACTCATGTTTGGCAAATGCTCTGCCACTGAGCTACACCTAGCCCAGCTACATTTTTGCTTGGGAGATTCTCCTCTCTCTGGGCTCTTGGTTATTCTGTAAGAGCCCATAGACCCTGCCTCCTTGAATCCTCCAGGAAGTACCCAGGGAGATCGCCTCATCCAGTCTCTGGTCTCTGAGTTAAGCTAAGATCCGGCAGCCTGGATACACCTTTGTCAGTGCAAAATGGGATCATCTCACTGAGAACATCAAACTTTCACGCAAAAGCGTGAAAAGAGATGAAGAGAGGAGACACAGGACACAAATGCATCTGAGCGCGGTGGTGCATGCCTGTAATCACAGCAGCTGGGGAGGCTGAGGCAGGAGGATCTCAAGTTCAAAACCAGTCTCAGCAAAAGTGAGATGCTAAGCAACTCAGTGAGACCCTGTCTCTAAATAAAATATAAAATGGGGTTACAGATATTGCTCAGTGGTTGAGTGCCCGTGAGTTCAATCCCT